AAGTAAGCAAGTATGGCTCAAATAGTAGGGGATTTAAATTTAAACACACAAATGTTTGAAAGACAGCGAGATTTTTGAAAAGGATTACAATCTAAGCATGTTCGTGAATGTAAAGAGGGGTGTCCTAGGCTTGTTTGTAATATGGATCACATCAGTACAATGCCCGGTAATCACTCCTTAGAAAAGGGGCTACGCGTGGCATTAGCGCAGCGGTCATCATATCCATATCTACCCTTTCCCACCCCGTGAAGGTAATTAAAGCAAAGGTTGGTCTCGACCCCTATCGGATGCTGTTACCCGTCCCTTCCTATCATTCCCGGAGGAATTTAGGACTCCTATCCTATAAGAAGGAGGTTCTAGGCAGACCCTCAGGTTTAAAGGCAAAATACTAAGGCGACATACAATAACAAGTAGGACTTCAATTAAGGGGAGCATGGAAGACAAACAAAAGGCTCAAATATACCTCCACAGGTAATACACATAGACAGCATGACTCATACACAATTAAAGTCTGAATTTAAATCCTATGCATGGTATCTAAGTGATAACAGCAGAACTAGATTTATCACATGACTCAGAAAAGAAGTTCGAATCAGGTTTGCCTACTGATTTTAACAGTTGATTATTAGACACTAATCACAGAGATGATTCTGGTTTTATTTAAAATTGATTACCTAAGGCTTGCCTAGGCGTAAAATAGTGTGCATCAGTTATTCAGAATTATTAAAACAATGGAAATTATTTTACTCTAAGAGCATGTTGTTCTGGTTGATACGAATGCAGAGATTATTACCAGTTATTTTAAACAGGATAATCAAGTGTGAAGCTGTTTTTACCTCTTTTATAACCAGCAGTTTACACTAAGTGTGAATGCAAGTGTGGATAAGATCCTAAAACATGGTATCTAAGATGCACATGCAAATGGCAGGATTGTAAAAAAACAGTATCCCTAAGGCATGATTTCTAAATGCGCACAAGAGTTGCGGAATTATGGAAATGTGACTTCTGAAAGTACGAGAGTAACAATTTTTATGCCAATGTTGTTATTGTCCTAGGAGCAGGATTTCTAAGTGATGGACATAAAACATGGATTAGTGATGCATGAGATGCTGAAGCAAGAAAACATGGGTCCTAGGAGCATGATTTCTAATGCATTATGAACCCTAAACATGGTTTCTATTGCACAATTAGGAATATAACCCTAGTAACATGTTTTCTACCCTCGACAACTATAGCATGCATATTTACCCCATCCCTTTTCACTAGCCACCCCAATACTTGTTTACAACAGGTTATTACAGACCAACATTGAAATGAATTACATAAGTAGAAATGAAAATAAGAAGTTACACTATAGGAAGCCTGATTAGGACTTCCTCCCTGAGCTACGTAATAAATCACTTCAAGTGCCAAGATTGTTCATAGCTTTCCGTCATATCTAGGTGTGTCAGAGTTCCCTAAGGACCTCAAGGGATCCCGGGCAGTGCTCACACCCAGATTTCATAGCCAAGACAGAGTAAGTGCAATGTGGAAAGGCCAGCTTTCATGTGTCCAAGTTCAGAGGGAGCTCAAGGGTCCCAAGGCAAGGCTCACACAAAAGGGGCAGAACCTAGTATTCTAAGAGTATAGTGAAGGTGCAGAACACATGTTTGAAAGGAGTTTATTTAAAAACTGGGCTGACAAGTCCATTTTGAAAGCAATCAGTAACAGAGATGATTGAAAGCAGTTGTAGTAGTAAATAAAACTCAAACACCTTAAGGTGGGATCACACATAGAATCAGTAATCGCAAAGGGGGGTCAAGGGATTTGGGCATACACAGACATTTGGCTGTAAACACATAACCCCAGCAAGGGTCTTAGGACTGGTTTGGACATGCTTAGCAATAGCTGATACTGGCATAATCACAGACCAGTCAGAAAGAACATAAACACATGGAGGGGAAAGGGATTTGGGATTCATAAGATGGTAAGTACACAGTAAGTGATTGACAAGGCATGCTTTGAAACACACATAAGGGAATGCATTAATCTAAAGGGAAGGGGAGACATAGTAGCATGCTAGTAATGAAACTCAACTACAGGTTTCACAAAAGAACCACAAGTAGAAGTAGACCAGCAATGAGAGAAACTGAAACAATAAGAGAAGCATGTTGTTGTTGAGGCTTTAAAATTAAACTAGGACATACCAGTTAAGGAAGCAAAGTGCAGAAAAGTAAAGCAAGTAGGATTCCATAGTCTAGCCTTGGCTTTCAGCCGGCTAGGCAAGCAGTAGCACAAGTAGTAGGGAAAGAAGAGAGAGTTTGAGTGTGTATATATGTGTTCTGAACTAATTGTTCGTGTCTTTAAAGAAGAGAGGGTACAGTATTTATAGCTTTAAAAACATGTAAGAAAATAAGGTAAGAAGTACTGACTTAGCATAATTATAGAAATAATACAAATTAGAATCAATTAAAAACACGGACTCCCTTTAATTAGGGAGTCATAGTTCAAACGGGTACAAGTTGTACCAAATAAGGAAAAGAATTGTTTGTAAGACTGATTTTACCATAATAGGAATAGTAAAAGCATGTAGCATGTAATAGGGTCTAAGTACAGAATAGTTTCAACATAAGGAAAGTACACGTTAATTAACAGCACATAAACAAGGCATATTATAATTTGATTCTGAAAATTAGTTTAAAGAATCACGGATGAGATTGAGAATCACAGGGATTCAGTACTAACCAAGGAAAGGATCACAAAAGTAAGGAAGCAATTTTGAAAAATCAGTATAGAACTACAAGGAAAATGCACAGAATCAGAGGTGTAGGTTTAAGGAGATTACACAGAATCAACATAAATTATGTGAACGATTAAAACAAATGGTCGGACCTATAAATAACACGGGTTTGGACAAAATCAAAGAGACCTTAAGAACAAACGAAAACAAGAAGCACAAGAGCATATAGAACACATATAAAGCCAATAATGTTCATGGTAGTCATGCAAACACACTGCAAACAAATTCAAACTTCGAATCGAACCCAGAAGTATTAGGGTTTCTTGACAAAAAATGAGTTGAGCCAAAACGAAAGGCTTAGGTAATGTTTAAACATGCTAAAAATAACAGTAATCAGAAAGAAATCCTTATTTTTTTTGCAAAAAAGTTTTGAAACCCTAGTTTGGAAAATGAAGAAACTGTTTAAAATCGGTGAAACATTTTGAAGAAGACAAGTGACAACCTTAAGAAACCCACAGACCTAAAAAGATCGGAAGATTTATAACTAGGTTTTTTAGAAAATGAAAGAGACGAAGAAAAGATTGGTTAAAACCTATGGATACACCTAGATTGAAGACAGATCTAAAGAACAGTAAGAAATCTCAAGGGCTAGGGTTTCAGAGAAGCAAAGAGGATGAGAGAACATTAGATCGTTAACGGTTTTAGCCGGAAAAGCCATGGATCTGTGATGTGCCGGAGAATTTCGGCACATTTGATACAAATTGCTTAGATTTTAGCTTGTTTTAGATGCAATTATCTTTTAAACTTATGTAATTTTAGTGTTTTTGCAGTATATGAGGTTTAAGGACTTAAGAGCATGGAAATGAATTCAAAAAGCCACAAAAAGACAAGAAAAAAGCAAAAAGGCATCGCAAATGTGGATATGTGATCGCAAATCCAGCATGCGAGCCGCAGAATGTGCACTTGAATCGCAAACCACAACAGTGTTCTGGGCAAAATCCAACGCAAGAAATACGGTCCAGTCTGCGATCACATAACCTGTATGCGAGTCGCAGAATGGACGCAAACTCAACTTGAAGGTTGCTGAAGGTAGAAAATGCGATGCAAAATGCGATCGCATTTCTTCATTGCGGATCGCAAACCATGAATGTGACGAAGGCCTGGAAACTAGGGTTAAACTATGCGATGGCCATGTCGAGAATGCGGACCGCATGTCTGTTATGCGACAGATATGCGGTCGCATATTTAATCGGAAAGGGTATTTTTGTCCAGATTTTGCCCCGAATTTTGGCCCACTATAAATAGATTTATTGGGATTTTGTGGGGGCATCTAGTCTAATTTTGGGAGCTACAATACAAGGCTTTAATATTCTTCACTTCTGGAAGCTTTTGGTTGAAGAATCTTTCACTTTGTAAGCTTTATGGCATTAAATTTTCTCTTCATTTTGTATTTTAGTATGAGTAGCTAACTTTAAATACTAAGGTTGTGGACCCTAAATGGGTGTAATGTTAATGGGTGTTTACCATTGAATATATATATAATGGTTGGTTGATGTTTATTTACTTCTCGTTCTTCATTTATTGTTGGTGGTTGCAAACATTAACAAATGCCATTAAATTCTTACTTTGCTTGGGAAAGTGGGTTAGAATTTCGTAGAAGTAAATATCAAAGACTCAAGGCATTAACCCTTGTTTAATAGAATCGCTTAGGAATAAGTGGGTTTTATTTGGCATATGTTGATTGTTCTTAATTGCAACTCTTTTATATTTGGAAAAATTATAAAGAGTAAATACTACCCAACTATTGGAAAATATTGGGTAGTCATTTAGAAATCATTTGCACATCAAAAGGACTTTCCATTAGAAATATATCATATTAACACCGGTAGCATTACATTTCATTGAAGGGGACACAACCTTGGTTTCTTTAATCGAATTAATTACATTCTAAATCTCAACATTAGTTATTTCTTCAAATCACAATTACACCATACTCTTGTTATAATTAACCGGATAGAATTACGACTTAAGTCGAGTGACACACTAATCGAGTAGCTTTACACACCTATTCCCTGTGGGATTCGACCCCAACCTTGTTGGGTTATTATATTTGACACCGACCGCCTTATACTATTTATTAATGTGTAATTTGAGCATATCAAATTTTGGCACAGTTGCCGGGGAATACAGTTTTGAAATTACTAATTAGTGTGTGCTTTACTTTACGTCTTATTCTATTCCATCACACTTCGCTTGTTTTGCTTGGTGTTGATAGGAAGACATGTCAGACTACGAGGAAGAAGTGGATGAAAATCCTATTGCGGACATAGATGAGTACATAGAGGATACAAATGCTATTGTACCTCCGGTTGTTGGTGCTTCAACTTTCAAAGTGGAACATGGTCTAATCCTAATGCTCAAAGCGGAGGGGTTTTTCAGGAATTCCACTGATGATGATCCAACACAACACCTTAGGAACTTCTTGGGAGTATGTGTTATGCATAAGCAGAACAATGTCTCAGATGATGCCCTAAGGTTGAGGGTGTTCAAGTACTCACTAGATGGAGACGCAAGGAGGTGGCTCCAAAACCTGCCACCAAATTCCATCCGTTCTTGGCCTGAACTTGACCGAGCATTTTTAGCTAAATGGTTCCCACAAAGCAACAAGTCTGAACTTCAGGATAAAATTTTCTTCTTCAAGCAACACCCGGGGGAACATCTACATGAGGCATGGGATCGATTTAAATTATATTTGGTGAGGTCTCCCAATCATGGTTTTCCGGACTCTATCTTGTTGGATAAATTCTACATGGGTTTGGACCCTATGAACCAATCTATAGCGAAGAATGCAGCTGACGGATATTTTATGGACAAATCATTCGCAAGGGTCACACAAATACTTGACAAAATGGCAAAACATAATCAAGCTTGGCACTCTGAGGATACCACAAGTGGAGTTGCATATGGTTCTCCTTCCTCGACCAACCTGATTAAGGAAAATCAAGAGAGAGATCAAGTAATCGCAGGGCTTGCCACAAATGTCAATGTGTTGACAAAAATGTTCACTGAAAGCCAAACAAAGAAGGTGAATGTGGTGGAGGATGTGCAACCCATATCAAATGAAGATTTTGAGGAAGCAAACTACATCAAAAACTCTCAAGGAGGGTATCAAAGGCAACAATACCAAGGTCAAGGACAACAAAATCAATGGAGGCCTAACCCGCAAGGGCAAGGCAACCAACAATGGCGAAATGACCAAGGTGGCTCAAATCAAGGAAATTGGAATAACAACAACAACTTCGCAAATTGAAGTTCAAATCCTTATGTTCCCTCAAAGGGTCAATATTCAAATCAAGGTTCATCAAGTGATTCCATGTTGGAAAGCATGCTTGAATGGGTATTACAAATCAAGAGAAGTCCGACACTTCTATGAGGAATATGACCGAGCTCGTTGGCTCTCATACCGCATCTATTCAAAAATTGGAAATGCAAATGAGAGACCTCTCAAGGGAACAAAATCCGAAGCAAAAAAGGGACACTTCCAAGTGATACAATTGCGAACCCAAAGGGTAGTGGGAGTGGTCCAACTTCTCACATCATGGCAATTACTACTCGGAGTGGGAAGGTACTACAAGGAGAGGGTGAACAAGTGATTGAAGTAGATGAGTCCGAACAAGGGGTTGAGGTTGAAGAGCCAAGTGTTGTCGAAGTTGAAAAGATTCCGGAAGATTTGCAAGTGCAAAAAGAGAACCGGGAAGAGGTAAAGGAAAAGGTAGAAGAGATACCAAAAACTCTTCCACCTATTCCTAGACCTCCTCCTCCATTCCCTCAAAGACCTGTGAGGAAGTTTGATGATAGCAAACTCGAAAAGTTCTACGACATTCTCAAGCAATTATCGGTGAATATTCCATTTGTGGAAACATTTCAAGAGATGCGGGGTTTGCTAAATATTTGAAAGATTTGATTACAAAGAAGAGAACCACCAAGAATGAAGTGGTAAACATGACTCACCGGGTTAGTTCCATCATTGCAACATCCACCGTCCAAAAGAAAGAAGATCCGAGAGCCTTTACCATTCCATGTACTATTGGGGCATGTGATTTTGCAAGAGCCCTTTGTGATAATGGGGCTAGCATCAACTTAATGCCTCTTGCCATCTATAAGCAAGCATGGTTAGTTATGCCAAAGCCCACAAGTATGAGGTTGCAAATGGCCGATCGTTCCATAAAAAGACCGGTGGGAATTATTGATGATGTGCTTGTTAAAGTGGGAAAGTTTCATTTACCCGCCGATTTTGTAATCCTTGACTATGCGGTTGACAAAGAGATCCCTATCATTTTGGGGAGACCATTCCTTTCCACGGGAAGAGCACTAATGGATTCGGAACGGAATGAGATCAAATTCCGCGTGAATGATGAAGAGGTTACATTCCAAGCAAGCAAGGGTATGAAACTACCACATGAGTATGAAAGCATCTCGGTGATCGATGTTGTTGATGGAGTAGAGGATGCGGTTGAAATGAAAATGGAAGAACAATGCCTCGGTGAAGCATTGGCGGCTATTTTGGTAAACTTTGATGGTGAAGATATGGAAGGATATATGGAATCGGTAAATGCATTGGAGGGGCTTGGATATTACACTTATGCTCCGGCAAAGCTCTCTCTCGATTTGGAGAATAGAGCCACTCCACCCACAAAGCCTTCTATTATCGAGCCACCGCAACTAGAGCTCAAACCACTTCCACCACACTTAATGTATAAATTTCTTGGCTCCAATGATACTTTACCCATAATTGTTTCTTCTTTGTTGAATGATTTGCAGGTGGAAAAAATGTTGGAAGTCTTGAAGGAGCATAGGCAAGCCATTGGATGGACAATTGCGGACATCCGAGGGATTCCTGCGGGAATTTGTGAACACAAGATCCAATTGGAGAGTGAGATGAAACCAAGTGTGGAACATCAACGATGGTTGAACCCGTCAATGCAAGAGGTGGTAAATAAAGAAATCATCAAGTGGTTGGATGCCGAGGTAGTCTACCCTATTGTCGATAGTTCTTGGGTGAGCCCGGTGCAATGTGTGCCAAAAAAGGGAGGCATGACCGTAATTGAAAATGATAAAAATGAGCTCATCCCAACAAGAATGGTGACCGGTTGGAGGGTGTGTATGGATTACCGGAAGCTCAACAGTGCCACATGCAAAGACCATTTCCCTATGCCTTTTATTGATCAAATGCTTGATCGGCTAGCGGGAAGGTCATTCTATTGTTTCCTTGATGGATATTCCGGCTACAACCAAATCAACATCGCATTGGAGGATCAAGAAAAGACAACATTCACTTGCCCTTATGGAACTTTTGCTTTTAGCCGGATGCCATTTGGTTTGTGCAACGCTCCGGCTACTTTTCACAGATGCATGATGTCTATTTTCTCCGACATGGTGGAGGATTTTCTAGAGGTTTTCATGGATGACTTCTCGGTGGTAGGTGACTCTTTTGAGCATTGTCTTAACAATCTTAGACAAGTGCTTAGGAGATGTGAGGAAACCAACCTTGTGCTCAATTGGGAGAAATTCCATTTCATGAAGGATGAAGGCCCTCGGGAAAAGGGTAAGCAGATTGCTGCTCCTACAGTTGAGGATGAGGAACAAGCAGCAATTCAGGTAGCAATAGCACATTCGCTAGCAGACATGGCCGCCCATGTAGATCCAACGACCACTCAGCCATCAATGGGCGAGGCTAGCAGCTCACAGGCTCCAGCTCCAGTATTGGATCAACTAGAGATCCCTCCTCCATCAGTGGAGGTCACTCCTCAGACCAAGATCTCACGGTCCCAGCTTCAGTATCAGAGGGTGACCCCACCATCACTCAGCTAGCTGCCGACTCCCATAGCGCTTAGTGCGCCTCAGGGAGCCCCTAAACTCTATTTCATGTTCTTATGCATTGGGGACAATGCATGCCTTTTGGTTGGGGGTGGTAGCATTGTATATATTTTTGTGACATTGCCAACTGTTACACTTATGTACTCATCAGTGTTCTGTATATATTGATGTTTTGTGATTTCCGTACATAAGTTATGTTATCCTTGTGTGTGTGTATATATATATAAGTAGATAGTTGTCCATCTTTAGTCATTAGAAATGAATTCACCTTGGTTTTTCTTCGCCGGGTTCTTTTCCAAGGGTGTAATAGTAGAACTAGGACAGTAGAATGAAGCATGTTGACCGGTTTGGTGTACTTGTTTAGTCTCAAGCATGTGTGTCTGTATATAGCATATACCCTTCCATTATTATAAAAAAAAGAGATATCAACTGTGTGAACTTGAGGCTCGATATATGACTCTATGTCTACCTAGAGTTATATATGTATATATGATGAAAGATTTGAGTTGCCAAGTGTTGACTCGAGGGCTTCAAACTTTGTAAGCCAAATAGTTCGTGTGCCATGTGTATGAGTTCTTTGTTTAAATAATTCTTGTGTTTACTTCTGCCATATAGAACTTGCCCGGTTGGTTTTTCGATGCTTATAATAGTTACGTTTGGTTGAAGAAATGACCTTAGGTAGTCTTTGTGATTTTTGGAAAACCAATTAGCCTTTCATGCCTACCATTGCATAAATGATATCACTAGTACCCTATTTGAGCCTTTAGCCTTTTCTTTGTCCACCTCATTACAAACCTTTCCCCTTTTGTAAAATAATTCCCTCTTCTGAACCCGTCCCTCCTTGAACATTGAGAATGAGGCTAAAAGCCTAAGTTAGGGGTGTGGTGTCAATGTGGAAATTGGTGAGGTTGTGCATTGAGGGTAGGAATATATACCTCAAAGTGCTCATAGTAAATCATTCAAGCTCCAAAACAAAAATATAAAAGAAAAAAAAGAAAAATACTTGAGGTATATAAATATGGAGCCTTGAAGAAAATTTGAGAGGTATTTAAGGTGGTTCTATATTGGTAACTAGATGCCAATGAGGCAATGTGGTTTGGAAAGAAGCAAAGATCAACAAGAAAGAAGAATGTAATTAGTGTTCAAAGAGGGTGAAGTCACTTGTACCCAAATGCTTATCCAACCCTTCCCTAAACCTACATTACAAGCCTAGAAAGTCCTTATAGGATCTCTAACCGAGCGTTCTTAAAATAAAGCGATAAATTAAAATAAGGGCAAGCCTATGGTATAGTATGTTGTAACACTTAAAAACTCTTTTTCAGAATGAGTGTATTTGTAAATTCGTCCCTTGTTATTGTCATTGTAACTATTGTGATTTTAGGACTTTCTTTCTAGTGAGGGCACATGAATTGTGAGGTTGAACAGAAGTTGAGTTTTTGAGTCAAACGCAAAGGCACTCAGCTGAGGGTAACATTTTGTCACATTGTTTGAGGCTCAAAGTTTCACAAGTTGATTAGTGTCTTTGTAAATATTGATGGTTCAGGAAGGGTAAAGCAATCGAAAATGCATGCTTGTAATACTAACAACAAACACCATCCACGGTCACTATTGTTTCATATCTTGTAGATGGAGTATAGAATAGGATAGCGTTGTCTTAGTTGCTTGAGGACAAGCAAGAGTCTAAGTTGGGGGTGTTGATGTGCCGGAGAATTTCGGCATATTTGATACAAATTGCTTAGATTTTAGCTGGTTTTAGATGCAATTATCTTTTAAACTTATGGAATTTTAGTGTTTTTGCAGTATAAGAGGTTTAAGGACTTAAGAGCATGGAAATGAATTCACAAAGCCATAAAAAGACAAGAAAAGAGCAAAAAGGCATCGCAAATGTGGATATGCGATCGCAAATCCAGCATGCGAGCTGCAGAATCTGCACTTGAATCGCAAACCACAAGAGTGTTTTGGGCAAAATCCAACGCAAGAAATGCGGTCCAGTCTGCGATCACATAACCTGTATGTGAGCTGCAGAATGGACCGCAAACTCAACTTGAAGGTTGCTGAAGGTAGAAAATGCAATGCGAAATGCGATCGCATTTCTACATTGCGGACCGCAAACCATGAATTCGATGAAGGCCTGGAAACTAGGGTTAAACTATGCGATGTCCATGTCAAGAATGCGGACCGCATGTCTGTTATGCGACAGATATGCGGTCGCATATTTAACCGGAAAGGGTATTTTTGTCCAAATTTTGCTCCGAATTTTGGCCCACTATAATTAGATTTATTGGGATTTTGTGGGGGCATCTTGTCTAATTTTGGGAGCTACAATACAAGGCTTTAATATTCTTCACTTTTGGAAGCTTTTGGTTGAAGAATCTTTCACTTTGTAAGCTTTATGGAATTAAATATTCTCTTCATTTTGTATTTTAGTATGAGTAGCTAACTTTAAATACTAAGGTTGTGGACCCTAAATGGGTGTAATGTTAATGGGTGTTTACCATTGAATATATATATAATGGTTGGTTGATGTTTATTTACTTCTCGTTCTTCATTTATTGTTGGTGGTTGCAAACATTAACAAATGCCATTAAATTCATACTTTGCTTGGGAAAGTGGGTTAGAATTTCGTAGAAGTAAATATCAAAGATTCAAGGCGTTAACCCTTGTTTAATAGAATTGCTTAGGAATAAGTGGGTTTTATTTGGCATATATTGATTGTTCTTAATTGCAACTCTTTTATATTTGGAAAAATTATAAAGAGTAAATACTACCCAACTATTGGAAAATATTGGGTAGTCATTTAGAAATCATTTGCACGTCAAAAGGACTCTCCATTAGAAATATATCATATTAACACCGGTAGCATTACATTTCATTGAAGGGGACACAACCTTGGTTTCTTTAATCCAATTAATTACATTCTAAATCTCAACATTAGTTATTTCTTCAAATCACAATTACACCATACTCTTGTAACAATTAACCGGATAGAACTATGACTTAAGTCGAGTGACACACTAATCGAGTAGCTTTTCACACCTATTCCCTGTGGGATTCGACCCCAACCTTGTTGAGTTATTA